CCCTTCCCTTTCCTCTCAACCCCCTCCTTCCCTTCCCTCCCTCTCAGCCCCATCCTCCCCTTACCCTCCCTCTCAACCCATCCTCCCCCTACCCTTCCTCTCACCCCTCCTTCCCCTTCCTCTCAACCCTCTCCTCCCCCTTACCCTTCCTCTCAACCCCCTCCTCCCCCTTACCCTCCCTCTCACCCTCTCCTCCCCCTACCCTTCCTCTCAACCCCTCCTCCCCTTTACCCTTCCTCTCAACCCTCCTCCCCTCCCTCTCAACCCTCCTTCCCCTTACCTCCCTCTCAACCCCCTCCTCCCCTTTACCCTTCCTCTCAACCCCCTCCTCCCCCTTCCTCTCAACCCCTCCTTCCCTACCCTCCCTCTCAACCCCTCCTCCCCTTTACCCTTCCTCTCAACCCCCTCTCCCCCTCCCTTAATAACCCCTCCTTCCCCTTTCCCTCCCTCTCAACCACCTCCTCCCCCTTACCCTTCCTCTCAACCCCTCATTCCCCTTTCCCTCCCTCTCAACCCCATCCTCCCTTCCCTTTCCTCTCAACCCCTCCTTCCCCTCCCCCTCCTCCCCCTTACCCTTCCTCTCAACCCCATCCTCCCCTTCCCTTTCCTCTCAACCCCCTCCTTCCCCTCCCCTCCTCCCCCTTACCCTTCCTCTCAACCCCATCCTCCCCTTACCCTTCCTCTCAACCCCTCTCCCCTTACCCTCCTTCCCCTCCCCCTCCCTTAACCCCCTCCTCCCCCTTTACCCTCCCTCTCAACCACCTCCTCCTCCACATTCCCCTCACCCCTCACCCCAACCCCCTGCACACACCGCACCTTCCCTCGTACCCTGATATGAGCGCCTGGACTGCCCTGTAATGTACACTGCCTGGCAAATATCCAGCTAGAGTAAGGAGTAGAATATTTTGCTTCAGTCCGTGTCTTCAAAGAGTCTTAAAGCCTAGAGTAAAGAGAAGAAATCTTGCTTCATTTTGAGGTCTTCAAGAGTCTTAAAGCCTAGAGTAAGGAGGAGAATATTTTGCTTCAGTCTGTGGTTTTCAAGAGTCTTAAAGCCTAGAGTAAAGAGGAGGAAATCTTGCTTCCTTTTGTGGTCTTCAAGAGTCTTAAAGCCTAGAGTAAGGAGGAGAATATTTTGCTTCAGTCTGAGGTTTTCAAGAGTCTTAAAGCCTAGAGTAAGGAGGAAAATATTTTGCTTCAGTTTGTGGTTTCAAGAGTCTTAAAGCCTAGAGTAAAGAGGAGAAATCTTGCTTCCTTTTGTGGTCTTCAAGAGTCTTAAAGCCTAGAGTAAAGAGGAGGAAATCTTGCTTCATTTTGAGGTTTCAAGAGTCTTAAAGCCTAGAGTAAAGAGGAGGAAATCTTGCTTCATTTTGTGGTCTTCAAGAGTCTTAAAGCCTAGAGTAAAGAGGAGGAAATCTTGCTTCATTTTGAGGTTTTCAAGAGTCTTAAAAGCCTAAGTAAAGAGAAAGAAATCTTGCTTCATTTTGAGGTCTTCAAGAGTCTTAAAGCCTAGAGTAAGGAAAATATTTTGCTTCAGTCTGTGGTTTTCAAGAGTCTTAAAGCCTAGAGTAAGGACGAATTCTTGCTTCATTTTGAGGTCATTTAAAGATCCTAAAGCTTAGAGTAAGGTTTACTAACCTCGACACTTGACACAAACAAGCATCGACCTGCCCTGTGTTTGTATTTGTTTGTTTTGTTGTATAGTTTGATATCTCCGTCAAGCAAGCGACGATTTCGGAAAGTCTCGTCAGTTTACGTCGAAGAAAATAGATATAGATAGATGTGCAAATGCGTAATTGAAAAATATATGCAAATAGTGCGTGAGTAATTTGGACAGGATAATTGCAACATGAGTATATATATGAATCAGTAATAGATACGTAATTATATTAAAACAAAGAAACAAACACACGAAAAAAAATCTACTAAAAAACACAAAACCAACAAACATATAATTAAAAAAAAAAAAAAAAAAAAAACATAACCACAAAACAATACCCAAATTACCACCAACATCCAAATCATGGAGAAAAACATACACACAAAAAATAACGCACCCACCCAACCCTTTTCCACCACATAAAAAAAACAAAAGACTTCAGCGCCATCTATCATTGATGCCGAACCAACATGGCGTCCACGACTGGTCCTGAGAATAACACATCTGCTTTAATTAAAGTCATCGAGTTATATTTGGTTCAGGAATGCTGTCCAGGTGCCGTTCCGAATTCGCTTTGCGTCGATGTTGACGGACACGCTCTGCGCTGGACGGGATTTTCTGATTGAATGAATATACATACTGTACGTGTGTATGTATATATGTACGTATGTATGTATGTATGTACGTAAACACACACACACACACACACACACACACACACACACACACACACACACACATATATATATAATATATATATATATATATTATATATATTTGAGAGAGAGGGGAGAGATAAAGGGAATGGAAGAGGCGAGGGCGAGGGAGAGGAGAGGGATGGATGGATGGATGGATGGAATGAGAGAGAGAGAGAGAGAGAGAGAGAGAGAGAGAGAGAGAGAGAGAGAGAGAGAGAGAGAGAGAGAGAGAGAGAGAGAGAGAGAGAGAGAGAGAATTAGAAAATGAGACCCAAAACACAATAATTACATTAAAAAGGAAATTAGAATACCTTCGCGTGACCGATCTCGACGATTTTGCTATGGATGATTCCTCCTAACTAGTAACACACACACACACACACACACACCCACCACAAAACATACATACAAATACAGACACAAACAAACAAACTACATACACACAAACAAACAAACACCAACACACATTTTTTTACATATGAAGAAATTGCGTTTTTGGCCCCGATAGTAGGAGAGGCCATGGAAGGTACCAAGAAATCGCTACGTAAAATCTGAATAATATACACGAAACACGTCACTATAACAATAATATACATAGATCGCGACATTTTAGATGGATTCCTCTCACTTATCCAAATATATCGAAAGTATGCGCGGACCCCCCCACCCTCCCCCCATTAGCAACAATCGTAGCCCAATAGCAGGACATGTGTTACCAAGGAAATTGACGGGTTAAATTGAATAGAATAATAGAATGTGACCCCGCCCTGAAAGACAATGAATCTACCACTTATGTGCACCAATAAAGAGCATGAGGATCATTCTCCAGCCCAGTAGCATCTGTCAATCAGGCTAGTACTTTTAAAATTCCTGGTTATAAATTTGCCGTGTTCGCCCCGCATGTAGGTCGCACGTTCTATCCTGCCGTGAATACGTGTAGGATTCTTTTTATTCCGGGGTGGAGGGTGGGGGAGGGGTGTAGAAGCCCCATACGGGAGTCGCAGAGAGCACAGCCCTTTGCATTCAGCTGTATAGTGAGGTATTATCTTCATTGTTATTGTATTATGATTAGTTTACTCCGCAATTTTCCTTGTCCTATAACTTTCATGCCCTCCCCGGGAATCGTGGCCAATATGGTGTATGTTGGGGGAGGGGGGAGGGGTTCCTCGGCATACTTTTTATATTTTTGAGAGCAGAGTGTGAGAGGAATCCATCGATATTACTATCTTCGTGATCGGTCTTGCGAAGGTAATCTGAATATTTAGGCCTATAATAATCACTTTGGGGGGGGTATATGGGCGAATTCACCCACAACAGGCATTTTTAGAAAAAAAAAAAAGTGGCAAAATTGAACAAAAGAGTCAAATAATATTGTAGATTATCAAAAAATGTGAAAAATAAAAAAGAGGGACGTAATTCGCTCCAGAAGCCCGAACGAATAAACCAACACTTTGAACCCTAGCCTACATACTACAAATTGGGTTTTACCTTTAAATTGAAGGAAAGAGATGCTGAGGAAAGTGACGAAGGTGACTGACTCTAGGGCTGGTCCTGAGATCGTAATACATTCCACTTAAGAATTAGTTTTCACCGGAATATTGGAAAAAAAAAAAAAAAACGAAAAACACACAACAAAACAAACACGAGAGTAGCACTGTAAACAAACTTCACTCCCGAAACGCACGATGAACACTGAGACAAGAAATCTAATACATTCCATTTAAGAATTCGTTTTCACCGGAGTATTTGAGAGAGAAAAAAACAAAAAAACACGGAAACACGAGCAGCACTGTAAACAAACTTTACTTCCGAAAAGCACAACGCACACTGTGACAAGAAAACTGACAAATTTGCCGATAGATGGCTGTAGGAGCGCTGGCATACTAATACACGAAGTAATGGCATATCTAAAGAACGCACATTAATTAATAAGAATTTTCGATATGATAGAAATTGAAATACAGAAGAAAAAAAAATAAGTGCAGTGGATTTCAATCTGTAAAAGTCGTCTCTGCTAATTTCGAAAACAAAAGCTATCGACTGCAGCTGTTTCGAGAATTCGTAGATGTAGGATGAATGGAGGATGAAGTTGTTATTGTGTTTTGAGAGGAATATAAAGCAAATAATGGTAGCGAATATATTTCCTTAGACTTGAATTAATTCTGATTATTGCTATGTTTAAAGGCTATGGGAATTTAAAATCTGTTCTTTAATTACTATGCACATCAGATGGTAACGTGTATCATTATCATGAATATTTTTTTTATCCTTATTATCATTATTACAATTATTATTGTTGTTGTTGTTCTTGTTATTATTATTATCATTATCATTGCATTTCAATCTTGTATTTTATATTACAACTGTTATCTTATGACAAAAATCATAAACTGCAATTTCTGCGAGATGGCAAAGGCAACGTAACAAGAATGACGTGTAAACAAATGGAATATTTATAATAAACGTAAATTAAGAAAACGCGCAGAATACGCTAGTGTATAATAACGACAGCGTTGATAGTGTTACGGTAAATAACGACAGCGTTGATAGTGTTACGGTAAATAACGACAGCGTTGATAGTGTTACGGTAAAATAACGACAGCGTTGATAGTGTTACGGTAAATAACGAAAGCGTTGATAGTGTTACGGTAAATAACGACAGCGTTGATAGTGTTACGGTAAATAACGACAGCGTTGATAGTGTTACGGTAAATAACGACAGCGTTGATAGTGTTACGGTAAATAACGACAGCGTTGATAGTGTTACGGTAAATAACGACAGCGTTGATAGTGTTACGGTAAATAACGAAAGCGTTGATAGTGTTACGGAAATAACGACAGCGTTGATAGTGTTACGGTAAATAACGAAAGCGTTGATAGTGTTACGGTAAATAACGAAAGCGTTGATAGTGTTACGGCGCAGTTCAGTTGTTCGCTGCGAGGCCAAGGAGAGGGTTGTCCTGCGTGGCGTTTGGGCAATTTCCGCTATACATATACGATGATTTTCTTTTCGTATGGGTTACCTTTTGCAAATTGAGTTTATTATCTCCGTAAAGGTTATGTTTCTGGTCGCGGTTGTTAACTTGTTCGAATTTTTGCTGGTTAGCAGAATAACTCAAAAAGTTATGAATCGAGTTTTATTTTTTTTACCAGATTTATCTTAGATTCCAATTAAATTTTGGTGATCAGGATCCAGGATTTTTTTTTTTTTTTTTTTTTTTTTGAATGATTACAGGAGATTATGTTTACGGACGTCACCTGTATACCTGAGAGAGATTATTTTAATGTAATTCTTCTTGTGAATATTCATATTGCACCAATGACCCTATTGCTTTGGCCGAGGTATGCGCCCTCTGAATGCACCTAGAGAAGCCCTATCACACGCATTTTTTCTGTTAATTTTCTGCGTTTCCGTCTGAATTTGAGTCTTTCCGTAAGTATCTTTTGCAAAGGGAACGCCCAGACGAAGACGATTGTGACCGTTTCCGTCTAATTTCCGTCTTGATCTTGTGCTACGAAGGACCTACACAGCTAGAATGATTTTTATTGCTAAATTAGATAGAGTGAGTGAATGTAAACATAAGCTAACATTTTACAACATTCCTATATACAATAAACAATCATATTTAAGATAACGTGATATGTATGAGAATGTTCGTGTGATTCCCGGGATCTCACTCCGATGGCGCCAGGTTTGTTTACATGGCAATGTTTGCTGCCTGGATGTGTGAAAGGGTCAGTCCATTTCCATACGAAAAGTTCATATGGAAACGCAAAAATTGACGGAAAAATGTTAGTCTGATAGTGCCTTTAACAATGTATATTTTAAATTGCCATTTTTTTTAGTAATTTAACCATGAGGATAATCATAATTACGATGAAAGAAGTAATGATGATGAAGATGATGATGATGATCATTATTATCATCATAATAATAATGATAACAATAAAAATATTGATAATGACAATGGTAATAATGGTAATACTTATAAATAAATATAATGATAAAAAACTATGAAATAATATGTACTACTACAAATAATAGTTATGAAAAGGATAATACCATATAATTGATAATAGTGAAGACAATGGCAACAATACAATAACAATAATAACGACAACAATTAGTAATGATAACAATAACAACAAAAGTAGTACTAAAACAACAATGAAAATAATGATGATGGTCATGATAATAAAAATGATAGTAGTAGTAGTGGTATTAAATATTAACAATAGTTATGATAATAAAGCATGATAAAGAACTATTGATAGTAATAATAATGCCAGTAATGATGACAATAATGATAATGATATGATAATGATGATATAGTAATAACGATACTGATAGTAATAATCAATGAAAATGGTAATCGTAATGATAATAAATAAAAATGATAATGATAATAACAACAACAAAATAACAGCAACGATAAGAATAATGATAATGACAATAACAAGAACAACAAACTAATACCAACGAAACTAATAACAACGATAAGAATAACCATAAAAATAACAATACCATCACCAATAACAACCCCCGATAAGAATAAACCATAAAAATAACAATAACAACACCAATAACAACCCCCCTCCCCTAACACCCCCACAGCCCCCCCCCAAAAAAAAGCCAAAAGACTCACATCACCAATAACAACACCCCCCCCCAGAACACCACCCCAAAGCCCCCCCCCAAAAAAAAAATCCAAAGACAACATCACCAATAACAACCACCCCCCCCTAACACCACCCAAAGCCCCCCCAAAAAAAATGCCAAAAGACATCACCAATAACAACACCCCCCCCTCCCCAAGAACACCACCCCAAAGCCCCCCCCCCCAAAAAAATGCCAAAAGACTCACATGACCAATAAGAACACCCCCCCCCCCAAGAACACCACCCAAAGCCCCCTCCCCCCCCCCCAAAAAAGCCAAAGACTCACATCACCAATAAAACCCCCCCCCCCCTTAACACCACCCAAGCCCCCCCCCCCCAAAAAAAGCCAAAAGACTCACATCACCAATAACAACACCCCCCCCCCCCTAACACCACCCAAAGCCCCCCCCCCAAAAAAAAAAATGCCAAAAGACTCGCATCACCAATAACAACACCCCCCTTCCCAAGAACACCCCCAAAGCCCCCCCCCCAAAAAAAAAAAAAAAATGCCAAAAGACTCACATCACCAATAACAACACCCCCCCCCCAGAACACCACCCAAAAGCCCTCCCCCCTCAAAAAAAAAAAAAAAAAAAAAAAAAAAAGCCGAAAGACTCACATCTGGACTGTATCGTTGTTGTCCGTGGGGCGTCGAGGCTTCTTCCTCTTCGTCTTCTGGCTTCTCCGTCAGGTCTTGGAAGTTGACGATGAACATGCACGTGTCGCCGTCTTCGTTCTTGATCGGGCACATCGTCGTCTGGCACAGGAATTTGGTCCCTGGGGAGAGGAGAAGTAAGGGGGGTGAGTCGCGTGGCTGGTGATGGGTGGGGGGGGGGGTTATGGTGGATGGTCGGGTAGATGGCTACTCGTAGATTCTGGTTAAAGGTAACGTACATTAGAAATACACACATTGAATATATATATATAAGTAATATATATATATTATATATAATATATATATATATATATATATATTTATATTATAATATATATATATATATATATATATACATATATATATATATATATATATATGTGTGTGTGTTGTTGTGTGTGTGTGTGTGTGTGTGTGTGTGTGTGTGTGTGTGGGTGTGTGTGTGTACATATAAATTCATATATATATGTGTGTGATGTGTGTGTGTGTGTTGTGTGTGTGTGTATTTGCGTGTGTGTCCGTGTACTATGCGTGCGTTGCGTGTTTGTGCGTGTTCGCGATCCGCTTCATTCATCCCCGCAACGCCAGCCCAGGACCCCCACCGCACACGCACATCAATTTCCTTTGCGTGATTCGGCGTGAACGAAGCCTCCGGGAAGGCTTCCTCTCGCTCCCCGTGAGGGAAAGGAAGCCTCCGAGGTCACTTGCGGTTCGAGAGCAAGGGTTGGGGGAATAAGTAATAAGTGATAATGAAATAAGTAATAATGAGTAAGTATTAATGAAATAAGTAATAATGAGTAAGTATTAATGAAATAAGTAATGATAAGTAAGTACATGATAAATAATAATAATGGTTAAATAAGTGATGGTAAGTAAGTGATAATGAAATAAGTAATAATGAGTAAGTATTAATGAAATAAGTAATGATAAGTAAGTACTGATGAAATAAGTAATAATGGTTACATAAGTGATGATAAGTAAGTGATAATGAAATAAGTGATAATAAGTAAGTAATGATGATATATGTAATAATAAGAAAGTAATAATGGTTAAATAAGTGATAATAAGTAAGTAATAATAAGTAATATGTGAGAATAGATAAAGTAAGCAAGTAAGAAGATACTTTTTATTTCCATTTCTCTCTTTTATTTCTCTCTCTTTTTCCCTTCTGTCTGCCTCCCTGCCTGTCTCGTTATCTCTCTTTCTTTCGCTCTTTCTCTCACACAAAATCTCCATCATATACCATCTCTCTCTCTCTCCCTCTATCTCTATTTATTTTTCTTACCTGTCTTTCTTTATCTCTTACTCTTCACGTCCTCCATTCCCATCTTCCATCCTTCCTCTCCCTTTCTCTCCCTCCTTCCCTCTACCTCTCCCTCCCTCCTTCCCTCTTCCTCTCCCTCCCCCCTTCCCTTTCCTCTCTCTCTCTTTTCTCTCTCTCTCTTTCTTTTTTCCTTGTCATCTTTCCATCCTCTTATCTCGCTGTTTCCCGGTTCTCCTGTTTTTCTCCTCCTTCTTGTTTCCTCCAGGACAAAAAAATATATATAATCTTGAAGATACTCGCTGAGACTTACACGTGGATGCCCGACCTCACACTCTGCTATGGGGGTAGGAGGAGAGGGGGAGGGGAGAGGAGAGGGAAATGGCAGGGGTTGAGGGA